TCCAGTGGACATGGTTTCCCAGATTCAGTTTTCTGGCTCCTAGACCAGAAAGATGGCATCCCCCCTTCCCCAGATCCCCAGCTAAAGGCTGTGAAATCATGAACGCGTTCTGTGCAATTCTTCACCCCCAAATGTGGTCCCCCCATCTGCCTGTTTGTGTTCACCCTCCACAAACAAAAGGTAGCTGCTTTTAGTTCATAGTTTATCTGAGTTTATAGTTTTCTGCAGGAGAGTTGGAATGGCAGGATCTTAGTCATTACTGATTCCAGTCTTTTGAATAGTCATTTTAGTAAGAGGAAAACAGACAATAAATAAATAAAAATAAAGTATTTATAATGTTAAGTACAGGGAGTTCTCAGTTACCGTCATCAGTAGGCTCTGTGACTTTCAGAGAAACAATGTACAATTAAACCAGTAGGCTAATTTATATAAACAAGAGTTAAGTCCCTATTGCATCTCGTCAGTGTTATAATGAAACAATGTTGAACAAACCACATTATTCAAGGAGTACTGTAGTTGTATTGGTTATCAGTTGCTTTGTTACAAACCACCCCCAAACTCTGAGACTTAAATCAGCTATGATTTATTATTATTATTCATGCAACTATGAGTTGGCTGAGGGTTGCCTGATCTAGGCTAGACTTGGCTGAACTTGTGTTTCTATTTCAGCCGGCTCACTCTTGTGTCTGTCTGCAGGCTAGCTGGGGGTTTGGCTCAAGGCTAGGCACCTCACTGAGAACAGCTCTGCTCCATGGGTCTCTCAGATTCTTCCTAGCAACAGTGGGCTAGCCTGGGTCAGTTCTTCTCATGGTAATAACAGAAGGGCAAGAGAACAATTTTATAAGTGCTGTTCAAGCCCTTGTTTATAACATGTCTTATGACATTCCGCTGACCAAGGCAAGTCACATGGCTGAACTCAGTATCAAGGGTAGGGAAGCATACTTCTTGATAAGAGGATCTGTAAAGTCATGTGGCAAAGAAGCCAGTATAGGCAATGGTGAAGATTTAGGACCTGTCATGCACTCTACTATAGTAGTGATTAGCACCATGAAAAAATTAAAGTAGGATGATAAAGACAAGGGTGTGTGTGCGTGCGTGCGTGTGTGTGTAAATATATACAGGCTTTTAAAATACAAAATTGGAATTTATATATAATTATATAGCCTACTTTTTCATTTAATATAATACCCACAGTATCATAAACTGTTCCCAACTTTTTTTTACCATTTTAGACCATTTAAAATTTTCTACCCATCCTGTTTTGTTGAGTGCTTACTTAAAGCGCTTTACATGTATTATATCATCCTTAAAACAACCTCAAAAAATACTTTCACTGTCCTCACTTTACAGATGAGGAAACTAAGATACAAGAGGCTAAGTAACTGGCCTTAAGTCCTCCACTTTATAAGGAGCAGTGATAGGATATGGAGCTGGGTGGTCTGTCTCAGTACACATTCTAAGTATATAGTTATAAAAGTATGAAAGATTGTTCATATGTCTGAATATTTCTTTAGATAATTCCCTAGCAGTGGAGTATTGGGTCGTCGGGTAATTGTCACACTTCATGGAGTACTGTTTTCATTTTGCTGCCAATTGACTGAGCACCTCAAGGTGGTTGCTGGAATGGTTTATCCCTCTCACTTTAAGACAGTAAAATGTTAGGCTTGCTGGTGAACTGCTGGAATGCAGACCCTTACTCGGTGAGATTCAATAGACAGGCGACCAGGCCTTGGCATGGGGAGAGCCATGGCGGTCTGGGAAATGGCCGGGCCAGTAAACCAGCTTGGCTAAGAGCAATCCACAGTATGGTGGGGCCCATGTGAGCCAAGGCACCAGGCCAGCTCCAGGTCCGATGGTTATCACACACAGCACAGAGTTCTGCAAGCGATGACCACTTCTCAGGCCAAAGGACAACTGCATGTGTAGCCAGTCGACTCTCCAGCCTGTCACAGATTGGACTTCCTGGCCCCTCATGCAGTTTGAATGATGAGGCTCAGGAGGAAGGGAATGATTTCAAGGGACTGGCAGAAAGTGCACATAACATAATGAAGGGGTGATCACTTGAGTGGTTGGTTTTCTAAGCCTCTTGTCCTTTTTCCATTTTCATTTTTATCATTCTGCCAGTTTGAGCTGTATCTGTCCGATACTTTCTACTTTGGAACAGTGAGGAAAATGAATGGAGAGGAGAAGAAATTGGGTTGAATTTTAATTATTAAAAGTTCTGAATCAAAGCTAGGATAGAAATAAGATTAAATTGAGAATTTGGGATTTTCTCTAGATTGGGTTGTTTGCCAGTGAGTGTACAAAAGCCACACATGACTTTTATTGCAGTTATGGTTTTCTTGGTTACTTGTAAGTGTTCAAGGTGTGCTGTGTTATGTATTTCGTGCCTAATATATGTGTATTTTTGCCTTCAGGTTAGTAGCAAAGATGAAGATTTTCTTGACCTTTCTGTTGATGTGGAGCAGAATACATCTATTACCCACTGTCTAAGGTAATCTCATGAATTTTGACTGTGGTCTGAGCTTTTGATCAGGCTAGTGAATAAGTGGGGGGAAAATATCCTGTATTTCTTCAGGAGATAATCTTCCTTTCTGTTAAGCCAATATAATCCTATTTTCTATTTCTTCTTTTCCAAGAGAGATTAAAAATAAGTATATGTGGTCTGGAGGAGAGTTCTGCTGAGAAGAGAGAGGATCAAATGGAAGCCTTTAGTCATTAAGTTTAAAAATAAGTCTTTAGTCTTTAATACAGATGTATTAAAGAGGCTTTCATCAGTCTGTCACTCTCTCACACATACACATACACACACACACGCGCACAATTACACAATTAAGTTAATAAATGCTATAGATGCCTACCTTGACTTTTCTTTCTCTAAGCTAATCTATTATTTTAAAAATCATGCACTTTTGAGCTGAGAACCAGTGAGGGAACTGCCTTTTCCTCCATCTCTCAGCATTGTATAGAGATCATTCATGGGAAAAAAATTCCTCTCCTGAGGGTTGAGTGGAGGCATAGAGCTAAGGAGTCTGCGTGTAAGAACCGCGCATGTGCCCAGGATAACTGCAGATACAGTATACTGAAAATGTGCTCAGAGACACGGTTCCCTTTACGCCTCCTCACTCTCTTCTTCCCTCTCCTCTTCATCAAGAGGCTGTGAATGCTTATAATTAACCTGGCCCTGTTCTGGACGCTGGCGATAGAGGAGTGAGCATCAGATACGAGTCTCGCAGCACTTACATTACGATGGAATCCACAGATGGTGATTGGTGCTTTGAAGGAAATTAAACAGGCCTGGAGAGTGCCCGTTAGTGAGGCGCCAGTGTGGACCGAGTGGTCAGGGGCCTCCCCAATGCTTAAGATACCAAAGCTCAGAGACATTTTATAGTGTCATAACAAGGCACTGTTTATTTTTATCAGTAAGAATCAGGTGACAGAATTGTTCTTTCAGGAGCGCAGGTTACTTGGAACTTTTTGGAAGTAGATTAAAGGAACTTGCTGTGGTGGTTGACCGTTAGTAAGTTGTCTTTCAGGGCTAAGTAAGGCACCAGCTCCAACATGGAAAAACTTCTTGGTTCATCTGGGTGTAATGTATGGTACGAGCTGGGGAGTTCGACGCCCCCCAGGAGTTTGATGCCCCAACCCCTGCCCCCAAACACTGCTCTGATAGTTGCCTCAGCACTTCCTGTGGTTTGGCATTTCAGCCTTGTCTCCAAATGCTTAGGTCCAGGCGTCTAGGACAAGTTTGTCATCTCTTTGTTTGCAAAGTGTTCCATAGGACAAGGATGGCCTATTCTGAATGGTTCTGTTTATGGCCTGGGTTCCTTTGTAGCCCATTTCATAGTTTAATTTGGTCTGCATCCTTGAGGGTTAGTTTTTTAAATCAGAGTTATGGATTTTCTTAACATGTCTTTATATCTCTTCTGATGTGATATTTTTATTTTATATTTGATGATGAAAAAGTTAAAAATCAAGCTGGAATTGTGGGATTTAAATATAACACCTTTGCCTCCTCCTTTTAGAGTGGTTTTTGGTGATTGATAACAATGTGTGTTCAATGAACTCTTGTCCCCGAGAAATGATGATATAAAATGTGGTTAAATTTAGGATGCAGGTCTAGAGAAGCCATTAAATCCATGTTGCCACTGAACTATAATTCTGCTATTTCAAACCTCAGACCTATGTCTTAGGCAAAGTGAGCCATCTGTATCAGGAGGGTACTGAGAAAGGTTTTTTTTTCTCCCTTTGAAAAGTTCAGGAATGGCCTCAGGCAAAATTTAAAATACGTGAAGTTTATCTTAATTATCCTTCCTTGGCCTTTCTGGTATTCTTGTCATCTGCTTCCGGTGCCTTAGTTGCTTCTTGTGACTCCTTCACAGGATCTTCCCTGTCTCCTCAAGTGCTGTGTTCTGAAACCACCTTCCTCTTCCTTCGTCTTCCTCTCACTTAAGTTCCTTTCTTCCAGTGCTGGGGAGATCAGTTAGGTCTCAGAGGAAAGTAGCCTTTTAATTCTCCCAAAACTATTTTAAAAATTAATCTTATTTTTTAAAAAATTCCTTTTCTACTCATTTTGAGAAACTTCTTTTATGTACCACGTTTATATATCCCACCACACTTCCATTGCCACACGCTTGTCTATTAATTTCTCTATTTTGTTTTTCTGACTGTATTTTGGTTTTGGTATTTTCTTTCTTTTTTAAGTTTTTTTTTTAATTTTTATTTTTCAATTAGAGTTGACATGCAATATTATTTTATATTAGTTTCAGATGTAATGGTTAGACATTTATATAATTTGCAAAGTGATCCCACTGCATAGTCTAGTACCCACCTGGCACTATACATAGTTATTACAACGTTATTGACTATGTTCCCTGTGCTGTACTTCACAACCCTGCGACTGTTCTGGAACTGTCAATTTGTACTTCTTAATCCCTTTACCTTTTTACATATCTCTTTACCCCCCTCTTATCTGGCAATCACCATTTTGTTCTCTGTATCTGTGAGTCTGTTTTCATTTTGTTTGTTCATTTATATTTTGTTCTTTAGATTTGTTTGTTCTTTAGATTCTACATATAAGTGATATCATAGGTATTTGTCTTTCTCTGTCTCATTTATTTCATATAGCATAATACCGCCTAGGTCCATCCATGTTGTTGCAAATGGTGAGTTGTTTTTTGTTTTTTTTTTAGGGCTGAGTTATATTCCATTGTATATATACCACATCTTCTTTATCTAGTCATCTATTGGTCGACACTTAGGTTGCTTCCATACTTGGCTATTATAAATAGCGCTGCAGTGAACATAGGGGTGCATATATCTTTTCAAATTAGAATTTTGGTTTTCTTTGGATAAATACACAGAAGTAGAATTATAGGGTCTAAGGAAGTTCTATTTTTAATTTTTTGAGGAACCTCCAAACTGTTTTCCATAGTGGCTGCACCAATTTGCAGTCCCGATGTTATATGGTATTTCATAATATCTGACACATAAGTCTTTCTAGTGGATTTCTTTTATTTTTCTTTAATATTCTTCTGGTCAGTGGTTCTCAAACTTTGGTGTATATCAGAATCACCTGGGGAGTTTGATAAAAATCGAGGCCCAGGCTATATTCAACTTCAGTAAGCCTAGGCCTCTATTTTTAATTAATTTTCTTGGTGATTCTGATACCACCAAAGTTTCAGAACCACTGCTCTAGTTCTTTGCCAAACAGAGGTCCATGTGATGCTGGAGAGCTCAGCAGGACAGGAGTCCAAAGAAGGACCTCGCCCCGGATCTCGGTGACCAGGTTCTTGTCTTATGCCTCAAGAAAGAATTCAAAGACAGGACAAACAAGCAGGAAAGTGCAAGTTTTATTGAAGTGAAAATATACACTTAAGAGAAAAGGACAGGCAGCCAAGAGAGAGTCTGCCCACAACTGTCTGAATTACGAGATTTTGTTTTCTTGGGAGTGGGGGGTGTCCCGAGGCTATCCAACCTGCCTCCCAGTTGGCCTGTTTCCTTTGCCACCTACGGGAGAGGAGGTGGCCCAAGGCCATCTATCTTTTCTCCGGGTCTTGACTTGTTTCTAATGCTGGGGTCTCATGCTTTACATCAAAGTGGAGAGGGCTGAGTACGGGACAAGGGAAAAATTCCAGAACCGCTTCCTGGAGGGGAAGGCAAACTTGCCTAGGTCAACAAGCCTGTCTCACATGGACTAGCACCATTGATGTCACCTGGGGTCTCATTGGAACTGTGGCGTCTCAGGTCTCTCCCAAGAATGAATGAATGAATGAATGAATGAATCAGACTCTGCATTTTGATACCATCTCCAGAATATTCAAGTGTATGTTAACATTCACAGAGTATTGGGAATCGTGGCTCTCAGCCCTGGCAGCACATTGGAACCACATAGGAAGCCTGGCTTCTAACTGGAGAGATTCTGATGTATTGATGGTGGGGAGGTAGGAACTGAGATTGTTTTTAAAGCTCCGCAGGTCAACAGCCAGGAGAACCATTGCTGCAGATTGTAGAACAAAGCAGCTTCCCAGCTGGTGTGCTGTGGAAAATGGGTTACAGGTGTATGATGATCCCCTCAGTTCTTGGGAGGCAGTGCAGAGCCAGGGAGCAGCTGCTCGGTTTACCCAGCTCCCTTCTATAGAACGTAAATCATTTTCTGTGTGTGTCATGCATGACATGAAAATTATCAGGAAGTATTGCTTGAGCTTTTTTTAAATCAATTTTTGAACTAGTGTGTTGAGTGGAAAAGTTAAGATTTTAATTAAAAAATATCAAATATAGACATTAAGTTGGACATGATAGCTGTCTTTATAATACATAACCTTATCAATGAACATAGTCTTTCTCCATTTTTTCAAGTTTTCTCGTATACATTTGTATAAGGTTTTATAGTTTCCTTTATAAAGGTGTGCATTTCATATTAGATTTGTTCTGGAGGTATAGTTTTAAATAGCGCTTTGTCACTGTAACTCTTTTTAAAGAAATACACAAAGAGTTTTGTGCTTTTCCTCTAACCTCTCCTCTGTGCTTTGAGAATTCATCCTGCGTGTCAGAAAGAATCTCTACTGTGTCCTTCCTTCCCCTTTGACTTTCCTGTTGAAAAGTGTCCTCAACCTTCGTTGCTTGTTTTGATTCCAACAACTGCACGGCAGCAGCTGAAGGCCCGGTCTGCCTCGGAATTTCCTGCCGCGGTCATCCCCTTTTCCTAACTCAGTCTCATTTCCCAATTCTCAACTCTAAAAGCATTACCCTGTCTCTCATGGCAGCAGCTTCCAGCCAGCTGGGACTGGGCAGGATGGTGAATATTTATAAATCAGGTCTTTAAATGAAGTACTAACTTCTGCTATATTTCTATCTATCTGGGTCTACAAATGTTTGAAAACAACTGTCTTTGAGAAGCAAGTGAATAGGAAGTGTTTAATTCCTTCTTTATGGTTCTCCTCACCTTGATTATTCTAATTTTTTTTTTTTTTTTTAGCTGAATAAAGAAGTTTATCCGTGGTAGATGTTCCAAGGGTGTAAATCTCCATCATCACCCATACTCACCTCCCCCTCTTCTTGGCCCTCACCTCATTCTACCCCAGTAAACTTGTGTTGGCCAAGAAAAGATTTCACATCAGTTACTCCATTGAGGTGTCAGCCCATATTCATTCAGCTAAGTTTGAGTCTGTATTATATACCAAGCAATTGAAATGTGAGGGTTGAATAAAATTGCCTTCTAAATTGTTTTCTTTTGACCCCCTCCAGTTTTCCCTCTGTGGTGCTGCCACAAGTGGTGTTTTTTTTTTTTTCTTTCAGAAGTGGTGTTTTTAAAAAAGCACTGTCTCATTATGTCTTTTCCTTGCTGAGACCCATTAGTGGGACTCCAGAGCCACAGGGTGTACGCCAGCTTCTAAGAAGTATACGCCGTACCTTGACTCCTTGACCCTGTGCTACGTCATTCTGTCTGCAATACTTGTATCTTATCTACCCAGCACATTTTCAGTCTGAGAACCTGACTCCGGTATTGCCCCTTGGGGAAATGTCTTCATTTAACCCCAGTTCAAGTTCATTTCTCCTTCCTCTGTGCTTTTCCTTGGACTCTGTACACACACTCCTATCTTTGTTCATTCATTCAGCCAACTAATGTTGGTGAGTGCCATGATGCATCAGGCATGTTCTCAGTACTAGAGCTATAGCAGTGAGTGAAACAGACAGGGTCACCACCCACACAGAGCGGAAGCAAGTAACAAATGAATAGGAGGATAGTTTCAGATGGCGGTAAGTGCTCAGAGGAAAACAAGATAGCTACAGGGTAGGGGCTAGGTGGATTTGGAGAGAGTGAACAGGGAAAGCTTCTCGCAAGAGGTGACATTAACACTGAGTAAAAGTGACATTACACTGAGCTCTAAATGAGTAAAGCCAGCATGGAAGCGTCTGGAAAGGAGCTGTTAGTGCAGAGAAAACAGCACCTGCAAATGCCCTGAGGCAGGGAGAGCGTGACACTTGAGCTACAGGAGAAGACTGACCCTTGTGGCTGGAGCAGAGTGAAGGAGGTGGGGGTGGGGCAGGAGTTGAAGTCAGAAGAGTAGTCAGCGGTCTGAGGCTGGCTGGCCTGTCTGCTATGGCAAGTAATTTGAATTTTATTCCTAAGTACACTGAGGAACTGTTAGAGGGTTTTAGGCAGGGAAATCAGTTGGGTGAAATGATTCGTGTTCAACCTGCACTGAACACTCACTGTTGTAAGTGGCTCACTTGCATGTGTTTCTGGTAGACTGTGAGCCGTGTGAGGGCACGTACTCTCTGTGACTACCCAACACCTAGTCCAGAGTGCTGTCAGTAAACATTTGGGGATTTAGTAAATGAACAATCTGTGTTTTTTCATAAGCTCTAAGTAGTTGAGTCCTTTGCACCATGAGAATAATAAGTAACATTTTCTGTTTAATAAAATGTGATGATTCTAGTGCTAGGACACTCCCTATGAATAAGGAAATGTCATAGACTTTTTTAAGATTCCAGGGTATTATTGTATTCTGGATGTTCTTTTCAGCCTTTGAAGTAGTACCACAGGAATGGTAAGTAGAATCTTGATGACCGGAAGAGAATGAAAAGCCATGACATTTAAAGAATGGAAATTAGAAGCAGTACAATAAATCCTCACAATACAGTGAATACAGATATAACATCAGAGTGGCATTTGTTCTTAAAAGGAGGCAAGCTAAAGTTCTCATCCTCTGGGGTATGGGAGCATAGGGTTGGTAGAAAGCGGTCATCTCCTGATAATTTGGGTACTTTCTAAGTTCAATATACAGTTTACATTTATTATCTTTACTTTTGTGCTCTTGGAAAATATAGACCACCTGAGACATAATGTCTTTCATTAACTGCACAATAATGTCACCTTGCATTTTATGTGATTGACTTTTTCTGGACTCAACTTTGCAGTGCGCTTTTACTCTAGTTTTACTCTGTTAAACCTTCCCCTCCCCGCCCCCCCAAATCAGTTGGAAACATCTGTTTCTCATTAAATAGAGCTATACTTGAAAATCTCTCAGGATGAAATCTTAACCTGGTCTAGCAGACATGCTCTAATGGCATCATAGCACCTACTCATAAGAAGGATCTTTTCTCATTACTTCTCTCCTCACATTCACTTAAAAATTACCCTACAGGTAACAGGGAGTTTAAAACATGGTTTACAAGTACAGTTTGGACTTCTTTTTAAGTTGAAAATATTTTTCTCTACAGAGACTTCAGCAACACAGAAACACTGTGTAGTGAACAGAAATATTATTGTGAAACGTGCTGCAGCAAACAGGAAGCACAGAAAAGGTGGGTAAAGGATTTAGCTCAAGGGGTAGCTTTGTATTGTGAGAAGGAACCAGACAGTGTAGCCTGACAGATCTGATTTTGAATTCCAGTTCCATGGGCTCATAGCCAACTAGCTTTGAAGAAGTCAGTTAGCTTCCTTACCAGTGAAATCTAGGATAAGAATGCCTACCTTGGAGAGTCATCCAATCATCCGATTGTTTGCTCATTTGTCCATTCATTCATTCGTTCATGTAACAAATATTTATTGAGTGCTACTATGTGCCAGATACTGTGCTGGGTAAACAAGTGCTGATCAAATATAATCACTATCCTCTAGGGGTTAAAGGTGAATTATAAAAAGAACTTAGCATAGTGAATAACACACAGTAGTCACCCAGTAACATTGTTAGTGTTGCCTAAACAATGGAACTTCTTATTTAGAAGATATAAAAGATTAAAAAATTAAATTAATTATTTAATAAGGAATCACGAGGAAATCAACTCATCAGTTATATGGGTAGGCGATAAGAAAGTTGGCACACTGTGAATTGATATAAGATCTAAGGTCACCCGTCTTTTTACCAGAACCAACCAGCCAGTTACCGCTCTTGGACTACCTAAGATAACCAGCGATTCCCTGTTATTTTCCCCAGAAGCCAAGAAACTTGACATTTTAATTATCCTGTGAAGCCTTACTGTGAGTTTAAATTTACCCTGTCCATGCTTGTGGAATAATTCAGGGTAACTCAGATGCTCATTACTGCTGTCTAAACCTCCAGGGGTCTAGAGCTAAGGCTGAAATAATTTCTCTGTCCAGCCTCCCAGCCCTTCTCCCCTGGATATACACATTTTTTCTTGCTGCATCAAAACTTAAAAAAGGTTAGTCATTGTGGCAGGTGGAGTGGAGGTGGTAGGTAGGTGGTTACCTTTCATTAGCGGTCAGGGGAGCTTGCTTCTGGTCGCATTCATATATTCCAGGTCAGCCTAGGGTCAGCCCAGGTCCTCCCATGTGGCATGAAGGTGTTTTCTGTTCAGCTCTGGAGGTCTTATACGCCAAAATGTCATGTGTTCCTAAAAATATGGAGTTTTTCGTAATTCTTATGTTTCTGTTCATGTTATTTTGTTTAGTTTTATGAACGGAGTCTTAACCTCACTAGATTCCTGAGTAATATTCTCTTAAAATTTGTCCTCTTTAAATAATATGCGTTGAAAACATACACAAGCTGAGCAGCATTTACACTAATTCAGGACATTCATAGCATGGGGGGCCTGGAAAGTGACCGGAGGGTCCTCTCTTCTGTCAGAGTTAACTACATAAACTGTTGTCTTTGTGACCTTTTGACCAAGGAACGTGAATGGTCATCTAGTAGAAAAAAAAAAAGCCTTCTGTGTTTATGTAAGTTTGGGGAATTCTGCATCAAACAAAAGAGAACAGTTCTTTTACTGCAGGTTTTTGCAAACCTTCAGTATGGTCAAATATAGGGAGGGGCTTCAAAATAAAAAAGTAGCAGTGTCGAAACTCGGCCGCAGACACCCCGCATCTGTTAACATCACCAGTGCGCTCATGAGCGCAGACACAGAATGGCAGCCCTGAGCCAGCCCTTGCATTTTATGAATGAGGAAACTGAGAGCCAAAGAAGGGAAATGACTTGCCCAAGCGCCCAGGGTGAGGAGTGAGAGTGAGACTAGCACGCCTGGCTTCCTGATGTCAGCCGCGTGTGGTGTCTGAGCGTCCCCACCGGTCCTTGGACTCTGGAAGTCTAGATCACACCCTTCTGCTTATTGCCTCCCCAACTTCCTTTTCTCAAAAGCTGTCACCACTCATCTCCATTATCTTGGGATGAGGTGTGTGTGGGGGGTGTGGTTGTTCAAATATTACTCCCCCCAAGAGGCAGAGGGCAGTGATGGAGAGCAATTGCACATTTTATTTTTATCGGTACAAAAATTCTGGAATGTCTCCTTTGACCAGAGACCTAGTGTTGCATTTTTCTCTTGCTTACTCTGCTCCCGGTAGCCGAGAATATAGGATAAGTTAGCTCTGCATAAGCAAGCATACCTTTATTTTTATGAGTGGTTTGGTCATTTACTGGTTTGAAGTTGGTTAGACCCTTCCTGCTCTCCATTTGTGCAGGTAACAGTGAATTCTGTTCCCCTAACGGGTGTTGGGTCCAACTGATTTTCTATGTCATGGTCTCTTAGGATGAGAGTGAAAAAGCTGCCCATGATTCTGGCCCTGCACCTAAAGCGGTTCAAGTACATGGAGCAGCTGCACAGGTACACCAAGCTCTCTTACCGGGTGGTCTTCCCGCTGGAACTCCGGCTCTTCAACACGTCCAGCGACGCGGTGAACCTCGACCGCATGTATGACCTGGTGGCTGTGGTGGTTCACTGTGGC